AAAAAAAAAAAAAAAGCAACGAGACACTTAGCCCAACGTATTATGATCCACGTCATAGGTTTCTGTTCTCGCACACGGGAGAGTCCGTTGCCACTGCCAGAAATTGGCTTCTAGGAGTCCCTCCAGCAGGGCTACAAGACCACAGTGCCCTACCCTGGAGATAAGCTAGACAAACGTGTTTACAATCAGGCAGGTAAAGTCCGCTGCCCCAGTGTCCAGCAGCGAGCTCACAGACCAGACTGAGCTGGCTTTGCCCCGTCACAGACCCAAGGACAGAAACAGCTCCCCAAGAGCTCAACTTCCAGACAAGTCCCACATACTCCAGTCTGACACCACAGGGCAGGGACTTGTGGTCAGCCCTAGCACCCCAAGAAGGGGTGGAGAGACTTGGTAACAAAACCCCAGTGAGAGCACGGGCACCCTGTCCCGGAGCTGTCCAGAAGCGCCCGCGGCTTGAGCCCACTGAAACCCCGCTCACTCCTCAGGGTAAGGCTTCTAGGGTGCTCTGGTCCACAAGCGAAACCTGGCAGGTCACAGGCTGACCGGCAGGAATTAGAATGGACCGTGAAAACGAAAGCCCCGGACAGAACCTCACCCTGGGCAATGACGTCCTCGATGTTCTTTCCGTTCAGCTCACTGATGACCTAAAAGAGAGAAGTGGCCTAGTTTACGAGAGGCCTACCACCACACCCCTGGACCCAGCACAGCCATCAAGACCGACTCAGAACAGGTGAACTGAGATGCCCTGCATGTAAAAACTAACACCAAAACTTACTGCTAAGAAAGGATGCAAAATATCTCAGTTTACACTCAATACGTGTCAAAGTGAGTTTCACCAAGTTGGGTGAAAGAAAATAAGATCAAGATAAACGTCACCACTTTCAAAAAAAAAAAAAAATTACTAAGAAACCTTCAATCACACGTGACTTGTGTTTCTACTGAGCCACGCTGAGATTTGGCTTCACCCACACTTTTTCTTCCTTCGGGCTGTACCAGTACATCAAGGCAACCCCAAAACCATATGGGCTGGCAGAAATCAGCGGGAACCCACACTTTCCCAAAGGGAAACCCCGGGTCGGGTAAGCGAGAGGTCCCCCTGTAAGCAGTACAGAGCAGACCGGGGGCTTCGGGCCCCAGCGAGGCGGCTACCTTGTTGAGCCGGTCGTCGTCCGCCTCGATGCCCACGCTGTCCAGGATCTTCTTGATGTCCTTGGCGTTGGGGGAGGAATTGCCCCCGAGGGCGGCCAGCAGGTAGGAGGCGACGTAGCGCATCCTGCGGCGCGAGAAGAGGGCTGCGGCGTTACGGGGCAGGCCTCCCGCCCCAACCCCGGCCCGTGGGCGGCCGCGCGTGGCTCGGTCCACGGACCCCGCAGAGGCTCGGCTCGCG